TCCACAATCGTTCTCTGAATGTTATTTAAGATATTGCTCGGTGATGAGAAAGGTGGCATCTTTATGGAGAAACTAGAGGTGGGTATATATATATTTTAATTTATTTTTTAAATTTTAAATTTTTATATTTAAGTTTTTTTGTAATCATATTTACGTTTAATATTAATTTAATTTGATAGAATAGTCTCTTAAATAAATGAAATACATAGTTGGACACAATATTTTTCAATAGATTATATTTCTGTTTAAGTAGAATAGATAGTGTGGTTTTTAAGTATATGACAATAGTTTCTTTTTTATGTGTTGCCTTCATATATGCGCCTTCGTTTTATGATATGGGGACGAGACAAAGACATCACAAATAGGACAAGAAGAGGGAGATAAGAAAGAGTCTTTCCGATCATAGGGGTTCCGACTTGTGACTTGTGATTGGTGTATGTATGTATATTTTCTGTTTACTTATTTTTCCAGAAATCTACAAGAATTATGTGAAAATTTGATCATTAATTGGTTAGTTTTAATGAAGGTTTTTGAACAAAATCTTATATGTATACACTATTAAAAGCTCTAAATAAGAGCATATGAAGGGTGCCAGATTATGGCCCATGTTTTGTTAAGTCAAGTTGCAGGCCTTCTGTATTTACGCTGATATGGTTACGTCAAGCCCACTTCAGATACTCTAATGACCACATAATTTTTTTTCTTTTTTTTACCACAGAATCTTCTATCTAATTATCCGTCAACTTCATCTTTCCTTTTCAGGCAATCTCCTTTACCATCACCGAGCCTCCTCTGCTATCAATATCTTTACTCACTTTTTAATGAATTCGTTTCACCTCCTCTTTTTCTCCTTCTTAATAAACCGCTTGGTTTCTCCCCTGTCTCCACCGGCAAGTCTCCCACCAGTGAGAAGAAAGTCTCCCACCAGTGAGAAGAAAGAGAAAAGTATTCTATGAACCCTTTCTTTACCCTTTCATGAACGAATCCACTCCCGAAAAGGTTAAAGATATNTCTCTCTGTAGGTATTTTAGACATCAAGAACATCGTTTACATGACAACGACAGCAACCAGCCAGAGCCAGGAAATGCAGAAGAGCATAAGCCAAGCGAACTCGAGCTCTATGGAGTGGTCGCTTTCACAGCAATATGATGTTGTCATTCAGAACCCTGATCTTGCTCAGTTCGATAGGTTTGTTGTTAATTGTACTTGAGAGGATCAGAATGTGAAGCTTTCTAGAACACATGAACAAAAAGAGCAAAAAAAAAGTCAGTCGCAAAATCAAGGTACACAAACAAAATACCTATTCTTTAAAATGATCTAAGAAGTAATTTTTTTAACTCAAGATTTTCCAAAGTAATAAATTTCTCTGACCTTTGACTCTGTATATTACTTTAATTTGCATCAATAAGTAGATGTAGTTAGCTGAACGTTTGTGTCTTTTTTTGTGGTTCGGAGTGCAACTCTAACATGTCACACATACCGAGTTATGAATGTTGCGGTCTCACCTGATGGACAAACGGTTGTAACCGGAGCAAGAGATGAAACATTTAGGTTCTAGAATGTCTTCCCGTCCATGAATGCTCAGGTGAAACCAATCAACTTATCTTGCATTAACGAAATGATATTTTCAGAGGAAATAACTTGATACACTACAAGAAAACTCGTCTTTTACTAGGACGAGTTTTCCTCGTTATTTCCTAGTAAATAGCCATTTACTAGGAACTTACGAGGAAACGCGTTTCGTCGAAACACGTTCATCGTAAAGCATTATTTCCTCGTAAGTTCCTAGCTAATTTACAAGGAAACATTTCCTCGTAAACGCGTGGATAAGTTTTCCTCGTAAGGTCCTCGTAGTATTTCCTCGTAATGTCATAGTAAATTATTTCCTCGTAAGCTCGTAGTACAATCTTTACGAGGAACTTACTAGAAACATTTACGAGGACTTTACTTCGAAAGCTTTACGAAGATTTTGCTTCGAAATAATTTTTTCCTATTTAAAAAAAATTATTTATAAATTAAAAATTATATATATTAAAAAATTAAAAAAGCAAATTATAAATAAAAAATAAATAACTAAATATTTAAAAATAACTAAATAACATACAATTAATAAGTTTTAAAATTCTTAATATACAATTAAAAATTAAAAAAACTAATAGGGATGCTGCTCGTGAAATTGCTGCACGAAGTCGTCCTCTCCAATGTTGGCTGCCGGCTGTGAATGTGAGGGTGGAGGCTGTTGGGGTGGAAGGGCTCCGCTTTCCCATCTCTGACGCAACATCTCCGCCACTTGCGGGTTTCCAAATGTCGACGATCTCGGTGAGCGTACTCACATGAGACTGCGTCGCCTGCAACTCCGTCCGCAGCTGAGCATTGGCATCGTCCTGTCGCTGAACATAAGACGATGTCACTGCAGGGACATCGTTAACCGAGCCAATCCCGACAATACGGCCCTTTTTCCTAGGGACGACCTGTAAATAAAAATATTAATAACGTAAGGAAAAATTTAAATAAATAATAAAAATTAATATTAAAACAAATTATTTACCTCCTCGTAAATCTTATTCATTCCAAGAGTGGATAATACGACTGGAGCCCCAGGCTGCTGAGTCAGCTGGGTCTGGCGTTCGTCAACTCGGGCAACAACCTCGTTGTAGATCCGCTCGGAAGCAGGATCTACAAACTGCCCACCCTTTTCTGGTGGGTCCACTCGTAAAGGTCTTCCAGAGATGGAAGAACTCCTGTCTCTTTAGCCTAAATTTTTTTTTAAAATTAAATATTAATTTGGAATATTCAAATAGAGTAAAAATAAAATAGTTATTAAAAATCATCTTACCATGTCTAGCCGAACTCCCCCGTGAGGTTTTCGGCCCGTGGTGTGAAGCATATTCGTGTTGCCATACTCGTCTGTGGTCATGCGGTTCTCGGAGTTTGTCTGGGAGGTTCTGACCGAGTCCGGCAACCCCCAATAGCTGATGAGGCCATCCCACACCGTGGTTGTGAGGCAATCGGGTTTCCCGCGCTCGTAAACATCCACCTGATTTAAAATAATTAGAATTAAAGTCAATAACATTTTTAAAACTATACATATATTATAATTTATAAAGCTTTACCTGAAAGTTGCCCTTCCAGTTGTAGACCATGTCGAGCAATCGTGCTCTTGCCTTGGCCTCGAACTCCGTCTTCACCCGCTGGTGAATCCCAATAGACCAACGATATTTTTGCTGTAACCAGAAAAATAAGAGACGGATTAGTTCAATAAAATTAATAATTTTAAATGATTAAAAATAAATTAAGTTGATTTACTAAACTTACAGCGAACAATTTGAACCACGTCTTTTTTGTGTGGCTCGCCGTTATCTTACAGTTTGGAGCTGCATCGGGAAAGTATCCCTTGATACAGTCTGTGACGCTAGATCCGACACAATTGTCAAGACCAAACCTGGAAAGACAGAAAATAAATCATTAATTAGATTAATTAATTTGTAAATATTTTGTTAATTAAGAAATAAATTAAAAAAACTTTTAAAAAATTAAAACATACCATAATACGTTTTGGCCGCCCTATCGGATAGGATCTAACTCTTGCAACCCTTCTCTGCCTGGAAGGGCCAAAATATCCTCCACCGTGTACACCGAAAATGGTGCGTTCGGCGGCACCTACAAATCAGGATGAATCCCGACCGGTGGAGGAGGAGGAGGAGGAGGAGGAGGAGGTGGCTGATGAGACCGGGACGCCATAGAAACTCCCTGAGTCTCGGGAACA